TCGCTCTGCTCGGGGTCGACATGTAGCATGATTGAACCTCCCAAGGAGTAGTCAAGGTGGGCTTGGAGAGAGTCAGGTGGATGGGTAGTAGCAGAGGACAACACAGTTTGTACTAGGCTCAGGGGCACCAGATATGGGGGAATTCTACCCATGGCTAGGGTGTCGATGGAGGAGCTCACCTCACGGAGCATGTCAGACATCAGTGTGGTGACCAGCTGAGTTTTCACGGAGTTCACAGTTTTGTTCAGCAGGACACTGTGAGTGTTCAGAACCACCAAGGTGCCCTTTAATGATCTGCCTATAGTCTGTAGGGTTTGGCCCTGTAGTGTGAGTTGTTCTGTCAGCTGGGGCATCTCAGTCTGGATCTCCCTTACATGTTGCCTCAGGGTAGATAGGCTCACGGAGTTGATGCTGGTCACTCCCAGGTTGAACAGGGTTCCAACAGCAGCAGCAGCTCCAAGCAAGGCCCCCAGGAATAGTTTGTTACACTTGTTATGTCCGCTTAGCTTTGCTTGGGTGAGAGTCATTTTCTGCAAATGAGAGAGCATGTGTTTGATATCGACTTCTGCGTGAGCGAGGGTATTCTCAGTCCATCGGGCACCTCTACAACTGTAGTGTGCGGCTGCCTGGGGATTATGTGTCTTGTAGACATTTCGGGGGTAAAGTAAGACATATACTTCCTGTGTGTGAGTCCTGCAGTTGGTGATAAGGAGTCCAGGTTGTTCCCTCGGTGCAATGCCTGATGCCGGACCTGGTGATGTGATATCAGGTTGCGGTTGTCCTCTGGTTAGCTGGAGGCAGAGGATGGAGAGCCACAGCAGCATCCTGGTTCAGAGAAGAAGGAGAAAGGCAGTGGATCAGTGAGGGAAGTTCTTATCTGTTTGAGGACTATAGCAAGGCCTAGTTAGCACTAGCCCCCCCCCCCCCTGTCTTTCCCCACGTCTCTTGATCTGGTTACAATGGACCCATTTGAAAACTGGTTCTTTCTGTCCCCGGCTCAGCTTGATCCGGTATGCAACAGGGGACAGTTTGTCCACAATCTCATGCGGTCCCATCCGGCATGGCAGAAACTTATTTGATAGCCAATGAGACGTCTGGGGCGGTTGTGTGAAACGGTAGTAGCAGACCTTGTCGCCCACATCCAGTTCTTTGTGTGACACCTTCCCGTCGTAGTATGCTTTCTGGCCTTCTGCGCTCTTTTGGAGTCGTTATTGGGCAAGAGCAAATGTGGTTCTCAAATGCCGGTGTAGTTCATCAAGGTATTGGTGAGTGGTGTAGGCTGTGACAAGGTTGGAGTCTCCTGGCTGGTACAGCAGGTGCAGGGGCAATGTCATTTGCCAGCCTGTCATTAGTTCGAAGGGAGGCACACCTGTTGACTCATGTGGAGTTGCTCTGATGGCCATGAGCACCAGGGGAAGTTTCACATTCCAGTCCTTTTGGTTAGTAGACATATTTTCTTAGCATGCTGACAACAGTCTGATTCAACCGTTCCACTTGGCCCGAAGAAATTGGATGGTGACTGATGTGCAGTTGTGCTTGTACTCCCAGGAGTTTCCAAATCTGTTGCATTATCTCAGCTGTGAAATGCGTGCCTCTGTCTGAGTTGACACTGAGTGGCAGCCCGAACCTGGAGAAGATGTGATTCATCAGGAGGTATGCTGTAGTTTGAGCAGTGTCATTGGGTGCTGGAAGGCATTCTACCCACTTGTGAACTGGCACACGACTGTGAGGAAATACTTGTTGCCCCTTGTTGACCTGGGTAAGGGTCCGACCCAGTCAATTTAAAGGTCTGACCAAGGAAATGTGACTCCTGTGCGCTGCAGTGGGGCTCTGTGGTTTGGGTTCGCTGGTTGGAATTGGCAGCAAACAAGGCATCCTTTCACATACTCTGCCACATCTTGCTGCATGCCAGGCCAGTATTCCAATTGTTTTAGTGTCTCATAAGTGGCTCTTGTGCCGTGGTGTCCCGCACATGGTGCGTCGTGAGCATACATCAGTATCACCCCCCCTTTGGCACTGTGGCACCACAAGCCTTTGTGAAGTGAGGTCATCAGGGGCATAAAACAGAATGTTGTCTATCACACGCAGCATGTGTGTTACGTGGTATAGCCGTTTGAGGCTTGGGGCAGCAGCAAGTTCATCTGGTGTGATAGGGTGTCTGGAGGGGTCAGGAGAGGTGGTGAAGAATAGTTTTGATGGAGGAGTCAGAGGCTTGCATGTCAGTAATGTCATTAGTGCAGATTTGAGGAGCCAAATGACCCCCGGACCTCTGCTGACCACTCCCAAGCCATGCCCCATCCCATTCATATTGGGGCCAGGGCATAGGGGCATCGAATGCTTGAGTGTGGGGCCCTGACGTACGACGTGGAAAAGGGCCAAAGTCCTCAGCGTTTGGGAAGACCTTTAAAAAAAATCTGTAAAACGATATTCAGTGAAAAATGCAGACATGTGCTCGGACCTTTTTGGACCTTTTGACCCCTAAGCAAGGTAGTAGGGCCACCAAACCTTTCCGCCCGTTTGAGGGGGTGCCCTTGAGACAAAGATTTCGAATTCAGCTCGATCGGACCCTTCTGAGCCGTGTCCGCGAACCCTCTATGGTAAGCCCATTCAAATAAATTGAGAGCAGGAATTTTTTAGGGAGATCCCACAGGGCGCAAATCGCATGGAGAGTTGCCTCAGAAGCAATGTGCTAAAGGGGCCTGGGACCCTAAAATTGATTTTTTTTCTCATTTTTTATCCATTTCTCTGTCTGCCATTGAAGTCAATGGGAGAGGCCTAGAAATAGGCCCAATTTCAGTGAGACACGTGGCCGGACTTAAAAGGCTTAGGAAGCCGCCAGGGCCCTCAAACTCGGGCGCCCAAAATGGGGACCCACGACGGTGGTGCGTGCCGAGTTTCGAGGCCCAGTGACCTTCCATCTCCATACGGGATACGTCCCACTTCCCATTTAAACGCGTAACTGTTTCGTGGACGCGTGGTCCCTTTTTTGACCTTTTGACCCCTGAATGAGTTTGTAGCGTCACCAAACTTTTCCACCTGCTAAAGGGACCCCTGACGATACGTAAATGGCACCCTCTAGTCGATCGGCCCTTTCGGAGCCACGCCCACGAAACCGCTAGGCCAAACCAATTCAAATAAGTGGCATGTGGGATTTATTTATAAAGGTCCCAGGGGCCCCAAATTTTGCACCATGGCCCTGGGCCCCCCCCGAGCGACGTACCGAGGGCCCCCGGTCCTAAAGCGGAAGGACATTTTTTTGGGCATTTGCACAAAATCTCTGCTGCAGGCCTCTCTGTCTTATAACCACTCAGAGACTTTTGAGTGATTTTTTTGATCAGGAGAGGAGCTTTTTCAGAAGGTCCTATGGCTTTGAACTTCGGGGCCCCTGAGAAGCAAAAATCTCGAATCTCACGGCCCTACGTCCTGTGGTCTCAGAACGGGAGATGTCCCGCTTCCTATTTAAACACATAGCTGTTTTGTGGATGTGAGGTCCCATTTTTTGACCTTTTGATCCCTGAACGAGTTCGTAGGGTCACCAAACTTTTTCTCCCGCTCAAGGGACCCCTGACGATACGCAAATGGCGCCCTCTAGTCGATAGGCCCTTTCGGAGCCGTGTCCATGAAACCGCTAGGCCAAACCAATTCAAATAAATGGAGAGTGGAATTTTTTTAGAAAGGTGTTAGTGGTCCCAAATTTGACAGGGGGGTTCGTGGGGTCCCCTGAAGTGCTCTGCCTAGAACACCGGTCGATCGGAGCGGCTTTGCGTTGGATGTCATTTAAACAGCCAGGCAGAGCATCGGTGAGTGTCCGCAGGTCGAGGGTGCCTACCCTCTACCTGAGGACGACATGGGGATGCTTTCCGTGAATATAGTGGGTAAACGGACAAATAGTGGGTTCATTGGACATGGGGGGAGGAGGCAAGCGGTCAGCGGGGGTCAAGGAGTTGTTCCGGCACAATAGCGGCGAAGTGGACAAATAGTGGGTTCGTGGGACCTGGGGGGCAGGGGGTCAAGGAGACGTTCCGGCACAATAACGGTGAAATGGAAAAATAGTGGGTTCGTGGGACAGGGCCCCTATCCCAAGTGACCCCCATGCACCTGGTAGAGAGATGGAAAAAATAGTACTTTGGTGGGACATACAGGCCCCTGGTGTAAGAGCCCCATCCATTCACACAAAGTGAGAATGGACAAACAGTATGGTTTTGGGAGCGACTACCCTGTTTTACCCCTAAAAATGATTGAAAATGGACATTTAAAGGGTCCATGGACGGAGGGAGAGGTCAACAGGTGAATGTCACTCCCTATAGGTGTCCAAAGCCCCTCTATTCCAGGGGAAGCAAATCGGATCATGCGGAATTTGGGACAAGTAGAAACCTCCCAATCGTCCTTTAAATAACAGGCTAACGGGATCCAAATCCATCCTGCGGTCCCTATGGGTAATTATGCATCCATTGGCAATTTATAAGAATGGGCCTTTTTTCCGTGAACCCTTTAAATGTAATTTCTCTGTTTGTCATGTTTAATCAGTCAATCTTTTTGATTCTGGTCATCTAAAAAAAAAAATATCCCGGTGAAATGGAGAAAGTGAAGAGAAAACAAGGTGCAAGAGGATATAACTTAAGGATGAGAAAAGTACCTAGTGGATCATATCTCACTGTATCACAGCTGTAGGATGTGTGCTAAACACAGGCCCAACCCTCTTCCCAGAACTCTTTCTCATGGTAAACCACTTGCTCTGTTTAGGGAAAATAAGAGAAAACAGTGAGTCAAGCCTCAGTGTTTGGAAGCTACTGCCCAGAATGTTAATTAAGAAGGATGAATTAAAAACAGCCCTGTCTGGTCCTCCTCCCCTACCCCCAGTCCTTTGAACAACTTTGGCTTTGAAGGCTTTTTTGCAAAGGAAATAATAAGAAAAAACAGCAAAAAAAAAACAAAACAGAAAGGGTATCCCTCTTTTCCAAACACACACACACACCAACTTTACAATTGTCCCGAGAACTCAAACTAGCCAGGTTTCCATCTGAAGTTGTGAATTTAACTTATGCGCAAAATTGGATTATCGCATAAAACATGCTAATTGACCATATGCATGGAGCGTTCTTTAGAACTTCCGCATAAAGATAAGCCAGCTCCTATATGTCCGGTGAATTGCCATTTGATGTTGTGGTATAGAGAATGAGAAGCTAACGCCAGGGCGCTTTGAGTTCTGGGAAACTTCTTTGTTTATCCGCTATACTGGGAGGTTCATGCTGCTTTTCTGAGTTTAGGGCAGTAGTTCGATTTTCTGTTGTGATTGTGAACAATGTCACCATTGTATGCTATTCATGCTGCATTGAGAATCGCAATAGTAACTCAGATCATCGTTCTGAGAGAAAACTGGACAATGTAATATGTTTTCACCTTTTCTAGGTATTAAAACACCAAGGGAAGCAGGTCGTGAAGATGACAAGAAGACGCCGGATAGTAAATCTATTAATAATGTCACTGATTAAACCCACTGCCTATCACTCAACTAAAAAATGACATT